TGTGGTCACAGAAATTGTCTGACAGCCATGACTGGGTTCTCCTATTTGTGTGGTATGATGCAGAGTCCTGTTGCCAGACATAGGGTCTTTCAGCAGCCACCCAGGACAGCATTACCTCCTCAAGGCATTTGATGTAGGCCTCCGTGTTGAGTGTGAGGCACTATGGGAAGATTAATGGAGGCATAACATCACTATCAATAGTGATCACTTCAAACACCATGATGTTGACTGGATATATCATCCAACTCTTTCCAAATTCTCTGCATTGTCCCCAGATTGACACTCAAGCACTCTGAAATGTTCATATTGGAACTTTTAGCATGAATGCCAAGCAGTACAGCATGCCATTTCCAAATTTCTGCTGGAGTGAATTGCATCATGGTGCTCTTTTTCTCACAGATGGTGCTCAACTGGCCCTACTATACTGTGCAGTCAACAAAATCAAAAACAACATTCATGCACAAAAATTAAAAATATAAAATGATGATAATTTACCCATCGCACCAATATATGTTCTTGTGTTTGTTATGTTTGTGTATTATATATATATATATATATATATATATATATATATATATATATATTTTATTTTATAAAAAACCTTTAATTATTTTCATTTTTCATATATACAGCATATGCAAATATTAAAAGTGAACATTGAAAATTAGGGAAATGCATTTTAAAATTTTTGATGTTTCAACAACAATCTTGAATTTCATATAGAAATTGAATTTATACACAAACTGAAAATGTTTGTTGTTATCCTCAATTCTCCATAATATATTTATATATGTATATAATAAAATTCATTTAAAATACTTTAACCTTAAATTTTGGTTATGATTATAAATTTCTAATCAAAATTTAAAGGTAATTTTTATAAAAGCATTTTATATATAATGTATTTTATACATATATAATTCCTGATGAATTTTTCTCTATTTAATGAAATTTTTGGATTACTTTCATGATGAATTTTTTGATATTTTTTTAAATATGTTTTTTATTGATATATTAGCCTGGGACAGTTCTAGGTAAAAACAACAATTTATAACTGATCCTTCAAAACTTAAATCAGATGGACAAATAAAACTTTGATCCAGTTACATGAAATGCCACAATGTTTATTTAAGTTACTTAGTGCCATTTTAATTGCTGTCAAATTATGATTGTAATGATATTTCATGATGTTCTCTTTGATAGTTGTTTTCAAATGGTTTGACAGATGTAAAGAAAATGTTATCTTAGTGAATCATCTAAATAAAAAATTTTTTTTAATCAGAAACCTTCCTTTTAATCACATTATCTGAAACAAATATTCACAATTATAAACATGTTGTATTAGTCAAAGATCCAGATCCAAATGATCCAAAATTTTTTTTAACAACAGTATACAGAAGCAAGTCCTTATTGAAAATTTCCCAATTGATTCTCAAAGTAAGTTATTACTATCTATATATTCAAAAATTAATTATTTAAATAATTATATAGAATTATAAAATGATAAATTGTTTTCCTATATTTTTTTCATATGACTCTTGGAGTTTCTGTATTGATCAAATCAAGCAAGAAACCAATGCAAATGAGAATTTTATTAAAAGTTAACTCTTATAATAACATTTTTTATCTGGTTAAGTTTTCAATCAATCATTAAAAATTATTAAAATTATATTAATAATCAGAATTCACAATTTTATTTTTCTGCTTGGTAAAATAAATATATCACCCATTTATTGAATTTTTTACTGTTTAAAATGATTAAAGAAAATAAAAAAATGATATTGTTATTTTGAATGCATGCCCGAAAATATAAATCGTCATGTTTTTTTTAATTTCCAAATGTACAGAAAGCTATACAAGAGCTTAAATTGTCAAAAAACTGTGTCATGTTTTAATAGAAAATTGTTATGTAACTAGTGAAGTTGGTAAATAAGCAATCATATCATTTTGTGATGTATGTTCTTTAAGTCTCAACCTTATTTTTTTTAATAGATGGTAATTTTAAATTTGAGAATATGGATTGATTTTTTTTAAAAAAGAAACAGGTTTTAAATACAAAATCAATATAACTGTATATGATGGACATAACCACACAGACCCAGAAACTTTAACAATTCTTGTGGAAGATGTCAATAAAGTAAATCAAAATTACTGAATGTCTAGATATTACATTTTGATACTTTTGAAGAAGTTCTGACATTCACTAAGTTTTATTTGATTATAAATTCATTTTTATTTATAGCATTATTTAATGGAAAAATTAGTATACCTTAGTATATACACTTCACTATTATAAGCCAATGATAAATTTATAAAATAAATTATAAGTAAATTAAATATAAATATTTATTTTAGACATTTTTATTTTTATTTTATAATCTACATAACTAATTGGATCTAATATTGTTTTTTACTTGAAAATCATTTATAAGGGTACTAATAAAATTCCTTTTCATCTTGTTTAAATAAAATTTAAGTTTTGTACAATCCTTGGATATATGTATTTTAATTGTTTGTTTTTGAATTTTTTGAATTGGTTGCTCGTTATGTTTTGTTTTTTGTGATCTATACAAATCATTAGAAAAAGAAAACCTTAATGGCATCAATATAGTCTCTGATTCAGTTCAATATATTATCAGATATAGAGGCAAGAATTGTTAAAGTTGACATGCTGTGGAATAAGGGTTAGGAAATGACAAAGTTGAATGGAGGAAAATAACAGAAAATGTACAGAAAAGGAGTAAAATCTTTCATTAAACTTTTGGTACAGGAGATCAAAGGAAGGGTATTTTCAGAAAATCAGACTTAGTTAAGTTTTCTCAACAAATGATCTTATATTGAATAATTTATTTATATATATATATATATATATATATATATATAAATATATATTTATATGAAATAGCAATATGAGATCCTTTTTTTCCTGATATGGCTGCAGATGTAATGATCAAACAATTGACTAGAACAATTTTAAAGAAATTCAAAATACTTTTATATTATTTTAAAACCCATAAATATTTTGAAAATTTTCATATATATATGTATATATATATATATATATATATAAATATATACAAATATTTCATATTGTAATAAAGAAAATATATTGAAAATTTTACATATATATAAATATATATATATATATTAAGAAATGGACAAAAGAAAAAATTAATATTTTCCTCTTCCCAAGACTGTGAATTTTTAATTTTAAAATGTATTTTTAAAATAATTAGTCTTTTTTTTTTTTAATAAATGATTTTAAATTTTATTGAAAATCTGATAAAAATCCATATATATAGAATATTTTATTTTGACTCAACCTAGAACTTTATTATACTGGTTTTTAAATTTAATAAACTGCCGCATAGGATAATTTAATTTATCAATTTTTGCAAAAGAAAAAGTTATTGATAGGGGACGATTTTTAAAATGACATTTATTTAAAAACACCAGGTTCGAATCCTGGTCAAATACGAATAATCAGATATGGAAAATTTTTGGACATTAAGGCCGGTAAATGTTATTTAATACTAGAAATTATAAGAAAAAAAAGAGCATTTAAAAAAAATACATTATGTATCTATAAAAAAGAAATATAAAACATAAAATGTCTTTAATGAGAATAAATATATGTATATATATATATATATATATTTAAAAAAAAGAAAGAACATTAAGATATATAATCCGGTGTTATTTATAGATATTTTTATTTTTACAAAATAGTGCTCAATATATAAATTTACATATTATATTTTAAATTTTATTTAAAATATGTTTTTTTTTTTGCTACACAGTTCTAACCATGTTTCAAAAATGTAAGCTAAAAGCTACAAATTTAATTTTGTAATTAAATTAAAGACATTAATTCCATTTCATCCTCAAGCGAATTTTGGAGTAACTTTTAAAATTACTGGGTTTTAAAGACACAGCTAAAATCATAATTCACGTTTCCAAGGTTACAGATAAATTTAAATGAAACTGAGACAAGGGGTGTCTGGGTTAAAATTATGTCTTTATTTTGATGTATCCGTTATTAGTTACGTTTTGGTAGGGGGTAGGGATGTATTTTTCAATGAAATCTGACATCTGTTGAATGCATGTTGTCTGGATTTTTTAAAATTTATTGTTAACGGCAAAAATTCTTAGGACATTTTTTCTACGGTGTAACCTGGATATTTGGGTATATTTTAGCCATACGTCCCTTTCTGACAAATGTAAAGGTGGCAGAGTATGGTCTGATTGCAATTTTGAATCTCAATAATTCATGTAATTACACATAATATGTCTTTATGTTTCATTATGTATGAAGTAAAATGAATGCAAACTCACTTGTTTTAATTAATCTGTTGTTATATTGAATATTTAAAGGAAGAAAATTGAAACTTATGTCTGTGATATTTTCTATAATACCCTTCAATGTGACTTTTGATCTATAATATATTATTTTTTATGAGGCAGGGACTGTTTTGCCAGATCCATTTTTACATGTGACAGATCCTGACAAGGAAGAAGTGTTCATGTATTATTTGGCAGGCAGTCAATATCACCACAGATTTTTTATGGATCCAAGCAGTGGACTGATACGTTATACCATAGACTATGATGTAGATCAGATGAAAATGCCTTCAAAAGAAGTCCTAGAAGTGAAGGTGAATGATACTGGTGGGTTAACAGCCACCACTTATGTTGAAATTTACATAGAGGACATTAATGACAATGCCCCTGTTTTCAATCAATCAAGTTACACAATATTTGCAAGTATTCACGATCCAGTTGGCTTTCGATATTTGACAATCCATGCAACTGACATTGACAGTAATCTCAATGCAAAAATTGTTTTCCAAATTGATGATTTTAAAGAATTAAAGTATTTTGGTGTGAGTGAGGCAGGTGATATTTATTTGGAAAGACCATTTAAATATGATTTTAAAGGAGATATTCGTTTCTTGGTGATTGCCACAGATAAAGGATCCCCTGTTCACTCCTCAGTTGTTATGGTGAAGGCCATTTTACAAGAATTTCCTGATAATCAGTCACTGAGTGAATCAGCAGTTTCTATAAGGCCACAAGTAATCGCCAGAACTGGTTACTTTGACCAACCTGAAAATCTTTCTTGGTTTGCTGCGAGTGTTCTGCTATTGACCTTGTTACAAGTAATTGTGGTTCTGCTTCTTTATCGTTGGTTGTCCAAAAAATGTTCCAAAGACAACGAAACAGGCAAAGAAGAAAAAGTTCATTTTAGGTAAGGAACTATTAATCTAACCAATTTAAGAATTTTGAATGGAAGATGTGACTTAATTTAAGAAATTAAGAAGGGAAAACCAAAGTCAAAATTTTCATCAGTCAATATTAACAAAACTTAATAGAATTACTTAAACCGACTGAGCAAATTTAAAAGAAAAACTCTTTTGTTAAAAAAACATTAATTTTTCAAACTAATGAGTGCCTTTATCTTTATTCTGAATCATAAATATTTGTTCAGTCAGATAACTATTTAAAAATATTGGAAGTTTTTAAATAAATTCATCCAAGTTTAAAACATTAGATATCTTGAATATGATAGTTTTTGCTATAAGGAAGAGTAAATACATTTTAATTAATAGATATAATAATATATTTTCTGGTTTTAATATAATCTTATAGTGAAGCATTATGATTTGAAGTTTAAGTGAAACTGTTGTTTAATGACTTGTCATTAACATGAAAAAAGCTATTTATCATGTTTTTTTTTTCTCATTAATCTCTCGATGTTGTTGGATTTTTTCCTTATAAAATAAAATATTTATATCAACAAGTATCATAATTGTTTGTCTATATTTCCAGTACAAAGAAAACTGTTGTTCTACCAGAAGAGAAAAAAAAGGAAAAAGATGAAGTAGCAGAAATATCAACTGTAAAAAATATTATTTCTGGACGACCATCAAAGTGAGCAAAATAGAGAAAATCTTAAATTTTTCTTACTATGAAAAAAGAAGAAAAGTATTCAATTTAAAACAGTGGCAGACACAAATTTGAATTATTTTTGCCATTTCACATGACACTAAAACAAAATATGACATAATGGAAATCCATTTAAGAAATTTATTTAAAATCTCAACTAAATTAACTATTATTAATCTTATATTTTAAATTTAAATTATTTATTTTTTTGTTAATAAATTCAAAATCTATCTTGAGTAACAAAAATTAAATCTTTGATAAAACTTTTAAAACTGTAGCTGCAAGAAGAAATAGGAAAAAATTTTGTAATTTCAAATTCTTCAAAAACCTATTTAAACTTATTTAAAATAAGAAAAAGATGAAATTTCTAAATAAAGGAAATAAATAAAGACTCAAGATGTCTCAAGATGTTCCTTCATCCATATATTAAAATTGAGATATGGAACTTATAGAAATAAAGAGATGTGGAATCAAAATTTTCAATATCTCTCTAGTAAATATCTCTTACTGATAAATATCATCACCTGACTCAGCCAAGCTGGTGGGGGAGTCAAAATGAAACAAAATGTGCTCGAGCGCCAAGGGGCCATATCTGAGGCAATATCTCTTCTTCTGGAGTGTGTTAGGGTCATTACCTAGTGTCCAAGGTGTCCCAAAAATGGAAGTGTCAAAGGAGTTTGAGCAATTTAGTCCTAGTTTGCATACACATAGGCTCTCACTTTAAACTCAACTTTGTGTCACATTCTATGTGGTTAAATATCTACTGATAAATAGCACACACACACACACACACACACACATAATACCTAGTTACACATTTTCAAGTACACCCATCTGTTAGGATGGCTAGCCAATCCCTATTGCAGACGCCCACTCAGGCACATTTGTGTTTGTTCAGCACCTACAGAGCCCACTTGCAACTGCTAGGCAAACATTAGTTACAGTTTCTAGGAGAGAGTGCATAATCTGGTGATATCAATTGTTTGAACAAGCCCAGTTTATTCATACCCTCTGTCACAATGATTTGTGACTTTGTGCTACCACAACTATTGATGATCTCAGAACATTTCCATCTACCCACTTTCACTCACAAGGCTTGGGTCAATCTGTGGTATAGATTTCCAGGAACTTCCTAAAGGTGTCACATGCTTTTGATGACCCGCCAGACTGATAACATCATGAAGTCACCTTCCTTTCCCAGGTTTCATGCTTGGAAAGTGAATGTTAATTAATATGAGTAAATGTTAGTCACTTAGCTGATTGATGTTACCTTCAGTATCCCTACTCCAGAGTTTTGTCAAAAGTCAAGCAATAGGTGACTTGTATCATGTTGAGCATCTAGCTTGATAAAGTGCAGGGATTTAACATCTCATTGATTCTGCAGGTGCTTAGAAGCTCCCTGATATATTTGTTAGTATAGGATCTTGCATGTAAATAGACCTCTCCACCATGTCCCATAAAATCTGAGCCATCATCAAAACTAAATTCATTTATTTCCCCAACTCCAGACTTATAAACAGTCAAGAATAGTTTGGGCATTCATAAGTTTATACTTGGTTGTCATAGTTTTGAAAATCAATCATCTATCAGTGAGAAATCATTGCATTCTGCCACTACATGGAAGCCACAATGTTGCTTGAATCGATTCAATGTATGTACTCCTAACTAGTTGAATATATTGTTTTCAGTTTTGATGAAAAAACTTGGGAGACTAGCAATATATCAAGGTATGACTTCTGGAATGCAGGAAAAATAGAAGGTAGGTTAAAATTAAAAAAATATTTTTCATCTGTTATTTTTAATTAAAATGTCAAAAGAAATTTGCAATTATTAATTCTGTACAAATTTATGAATGAAAAAGAGTCATTACTATATTTGTAAATCAAAATATGTTTTATTATAAGTTTATATCATTCACTACAAAGGAAATTTTGTAAATTTTCTTCAAAGACAATTAATAGTTCTTTATACAAGTTTTTTAGATCTTTAGATTAGTGATATTCATTTTTAAATAATACTATTCTGGGAGAGCAAATTAGGTAGCAATCCTAACAGATCAAAAGCTGTATGTGCTTCTTTTTGAAAACCTGTATTTATGTATTTTTTTCTCTTCAATAATTCTTCTTTAATTAACTCGTTTAAATTCTGTGTTAAATGCCAACCATTGTTTGCTGCTGGAACATCTGAATGGATTTCTTTCACTTGCCCAAATGGCTGAGGCATATCCCCCACTAGCACAGGTTTATGGTATTTAAGCATAGAGCAAAGCCAGGATTACAAACCTTGATTTTCAAAGCAGGCCCTTTCCACTTATATACTTGGTGGAACATAATCTTATTACTTCAATCATTTCTAATTTTACTCTAAAGTTTACTCTAAAAACTAAACTAAGCTTGGTAAAAATATTTCTATCATTAGTTTCATATTGCAATTGAAATCGGCATCACATAAAAAATTATATCTTATTATTCATCATTCATGTTATAAAAAAGATGGAATTTTATACACTTTATTTAAATATAACAATATTTTCTGTATAAATCATTTAAAGCAATAATATTTTTATTATATAAATCATTTAAAATCAATGTATTTTGAAAATGGGTATTTTTAATGCATTCTTCAGAAATAAGAACACATAATTTGTCTTATTTCTTTCTTTATATTGTAGGTGATAGTTATCTTAGCCTGGAAAGTTCTTCAGGGGAAATGTCCATGCCACTACAATCAAACAAAAGAATAACACCACTGGACACTGAAGATCATAATAAAAGATTTCTTACTGAGTCACGGTGGGAGATGCAGAAGAAACCTAAACCATATTCCCAATTCACTCGAGATAGAATCATCAATGCTTGGCTGAATTAGATGTGGATAGAATAATAAAACACATAGTTTGGTGATTGAATTCTATGATGAATTTTCACTTTGTTTCTTTTTAGCTATTTCAAATTTTCACTAATGAAAATGATTTAACTTGAATACTTGGAGAATTTTTTTTTTAATAATGCAGAAATAAATCCCTTGGATAATAAATCAATTTTTCAGTGAAATCAGTGGGAAAGGCTAATTAAAATTAATTATTTAAGCATGTTTTTGATTTAAACATTGTATATAATTTTTTTTATTTCATAATAAAATTATACCTCAATAAAATAATCAACTACTTTGGAGACAATGTCACTTTGCATCATCATTTATATATATATTTTATTTATATATTTTGATCCACATCTTGAAGGAGTCTGCAAGAGAACAGAATTTGGAATGTCATCAAACCTTCATGCAGGACAATGAACTTAATCAAACTTCAAATTTAGTGAAAACATGGTTTGATGTTTTTTCAAAGCTCAGACAGATAGAAAATTTGTGGAAAGAATTGGAGGCAAAGGAATCCTAAAAATATCCGAGTATTAAAGTCTAAAAGTAGTGGAAGGAAATAAGTGAAGATGAGTGAAACAACTTGGTGAAAAATTACAAGAAATGATTGTAAAAATCTATAACTTTTTAAAAGGGTATACTTTGACTATTAATTAATGTGCCAATAATTTTGGGCTTTTGAAAAAAAGTTTGTTTGATCATATGGGTTTTATTTAAATAAGTGAAAAATGTTTGAATGCAATGCATTCAGAGTAAATTTATCAAAATATTTTTTTTTTATTTACCATAATAAAATGTAATTATACTTACAAGAAGTAATTTTTATTGTAGCTAAGAATTTTGATGATTACTACATTGTTACATTCTTTTGGGTCCAATTTTCTTCCTGCAACTTTGTTTGCACCAAGTAATGTAGTAGATATAGTTGCCTTAAGTTGCTTGGATTTCTTAAATGAAGAATTTTCATTATTCATTTTTGTCAAGTTTATCTTCCATTTAATTGCCATTTTTAATGTTTCATCAAAGAAATTCAGACAAGAATATTATACCATAATCTCTAAATGAAATACTATTTCTTTTTGTAGCTCATTATCAAAACTGCTTTGTCATTGACTCACAGTGTACATTTTAAAAGAAATATGACAATAAGTGACAGATTAAGACATTTAAACAATGACAATTTATGGGCATTTTAGGTTAATTGATAGTTCTGTTATATGGTACTTTGTAGTAATAATACAACATATATATATATATATATATGTGTGTGTGTGTGTGAAAATATATAAAAAATAGGAAAGAACTCATTAGGTAAACAATTCGAAGTTCTGTAGTATTTTTGTTTTTATTTTTAAAAAACAGTGCTCAATACAAAAGTAGAGCCTAAATATAATTATTTATTTAAAAATTTATGTAGTGAAGGAATATATTTTTAAATAAATAATTATATATATATCTATATATATTGAATAATACTACATGATATATACATCTATAAAAATAAAAAAACTCTGCCATCTTTGTATGTTTGCTCACATTCTTCAATGAATTTTCTCTATAAAAATTATTATTCTATTTCTATACCATTATTAACCCTTTTTTCACAAGAAATTTAAAATGAAAGTGTTAAATTTCTAATCTTATTCTAGTATTTTTCTTTCTGCAAGGGAGTCCACAAATAAAAATTTGTTGGATATTTTATTTTTTTTCAACTGATTAATGTCAAATAATAAATGATATTTAAAAAACCTGTAATGAACATAAAACTAACTGAATATATATTAAACTGAAATATATGCTGCCATGGTTTTCGTCAAATAACTATTTAAATACATTTTATATGAATTTATAAAATTAAGAATGAAACTATGTCAAATTGTATCTCTATATTATAAAATCTTACTTTCTTTTACAAAAACCTATTGTTGTGCAAAATATAAAAAACTACTTTGTAAGGATAGAATGGAAAAAGAGAGCACATCATCTCTCTTACCCAAAATGTTGAACAAGGCACAAAAAATAAAACTCAAACCACTGCAAGAAATTTAAAGGAAAAAACATTTAATACAGTACATAAAAAAGCAAATGCAATATTTTACAAACAGGTGCTTGCACAAAAAATTACCTTTTGTGCATATTATACAAAATCTAAAGCTAAAAACAATATACATGACAAAAAAAGATTACAATTTTTGAAAATGAAAAGAAAACTTTGAAAAATTTCAAAGCAAAAAATTAGATAAGGCAGAAAATGCACTCACAATTTTGTTAGACAGAATAGAAATGTTTCAGCATGAAGAGAGATTTGATTGATTTGAAATGGTTGATGTCACAGAGATTTTTATATTTTTTCCTTTATAGAAAAGTTCCTTTAAAAATTCTTCTCTGGAAGCAGCCCAAACAGATTTCCTTCCTGGGTTTTGTATCTGAAATTTTACTGTCCCCTGTTTTGGTGGTTCCTTCTCTGTAGAGACTCCTTTCTACTTTGACACTTCCTTCTGCTTTAAAATCAGATTACTTTCTGTCTTGAAATCTAAGTGCTTTCTGATCTTATCTGTTGATTCAACTAATTTTATAAGAAAACAGGAGGTACCCAGAAACCTTAATTTCATAATTTACTGGGTATGACGCCATATCTCTGATTGGTCACTAAATACAGTCGTATATATTTTTTCAAATTCAAAAAATGAATCAGCAACAATTCACATAGAAGAAATAATTTTGGTTGCTCTGTAATCATTAATTATAAAAATAGAAATTTTCAAAGACACATGTAACATTTTTTTAAAAACCATCTGGCTTTCTTTAAAGTACACTTCTCTCAAAAGTATGTATAAAATACAAACCTAGACAATTATAATATTTATTTACACCTTTAATGATTAACTTTAATTATTTTACACTACTGAAATATAGAATTTTTATAATATTGTTATATTTAATTTAAGTAATTAATGGATTTTTAATCCACCATTATTTCTTATTACTAGACATAATTTTTGTTGGTACACATGTTTGAGTAGACATCTAATTTTTTTTCTTTTAACAATGAAATTAATGCCTATAATTGAAAGTTTTATTAAAGAAAATGTATATCTTGGCAGAGATTGAACCTGAATTCTTTTTATCTGGGGAACCACTTTTTAGCCAAATGTGCTCTAATGATTTCAGTCATGTATAAAAGTAATGTGGGTTTGATCCCTGCAAAGAGTGTATCACTTCCCAACTAAGAGAAGGTGATCTTGTTGTGATAGAAAAATAAAAAGTTCACTATTTAAAAAATAAAAAAAGAAAACTAAAAGTTGTCAAATCATTTTGGTTTGACCTAAAGAAATAGACAAAAAGGTAAGAAAAAAAGAAATAAATAAAAAAGGCCAAAAGGTCATCATTCCTAACTGTTGGTGAAGACAAGGGAATTTCAAATGAGTCCTGAAAATCAATCATAAATCAAGAGAGAATTCTGAAATGAATTCCTTTATTTTGAAAAAGTGAAAACATAAACATGATCAAGCAAGGCAAACAGAGAGTCAATGAAATATTTTGTCCATTCTTCCATGCCCTAAATTTTCAGAAACCTAAAAATCCAACAGAGAGTTGAAAAGATTACTACTATTAAGAGATACATACATACTTACACATTTACAAGGACTCTTTTCTCTTCTCCATCTCTCTATTATGCTAAAGGACTTTAGACATTCAACACAGGAATTTTCTGATATGGATTTATGAGTTCTTTGAATATTGCATATTCTATTTTAAGAGATATAAATTTTTATCAGTACATGCAATATATATCTTTGTATTAATTATCTTTGCATGCATTTCCAAAAAGGCAAAAATTGGTGTATATTTGGATTAAGGTGGTTATCCAAAGATAACCACCTGTAAACACATAATCCCTACATTGATAACCCCTACAAGCTGCAAGAAGTATGACAAATTTCCTTTGAACATTCCTCCAATGTCAACAAGGTCAATAAATAACCATTGTAAATTAACCGCAAATCAACCACATCATATTCAACTCAAGAGGTTTCATTTTCAATGATTTATGAAAAATACTTAATAGTTATTTATACCATTACCTCTCTTTTCTACTTTATTTTTGATTGTGTATTCTCCAAATCCAAGCTGAATCAGTTTTAACAATATATAATGCTTCTTCACTCCCATGGACATATCAATTATCAGATGAGACTGATCAGGATAAAAAATGAGAATCCAGTCATCACAGATATTATATTGTAAATACCCTGGCAATCAATTCATAACTTCTATCATTGTCAAAACAATGTAGAATTTTCAAACATCTCATTTAAAATATTATAGATATATCATTTACTTTGTAATTTTGTTATATATTGTCATGAGTGTTCTTTTTACTTTTAAAGAATAGATAAAAATAAAAAAACAAAAGATTTTATTTTGAAAAATCAAAAGGATAATATAAAAAAATGAAATTGTAAATTTCAAAAACTCAGATATGCAAAAATATTTTTTTATTTTATTTTCAGTCAACAAATTGCTAAAACCAGAAACTCTTTGACTAATCATGAGAATTTAATTTACCACTTACTAAATATTGTTGAAAAATATATTGCAGAGTGTTCAAACATTTCACTGTAGTAAAAGAGGATTAAGTTCTTATATTTTCTTCTTTTCCACCCAAAAACCCATTAGAAAATTGTTCAAGAAAAAGCCTTCTTTTTTCAGACAATTTTTTCTTTATGAATTGTTCATAAAACATTTTTCCAACCAAGAAACCTACAGCATTTTAAATAAACTTAGAAAGTAAACAAGATTTTCATGATATATAAAAAACCTTTTATTGATACTTGGCATATATTATTTCATGCCCCACTTCATAGAATGTATTATTAATATATACATACACTAAAATGCATATTGCCTGAAACTAATGAACGAGCTTAAATTTACACAATATTAGATTTTATTATACAAATCAATGTTTTCACAATAAAATATTG